AATATGAACATGTCTAATAGCTACTGTGTGTATATATATGTGTGGTATAATTTGTTTATTTTATAGAGCATAAGATCACATATATGGATCATTTCCTTGGATCAATAGAAGGGACAGTCTACATTTCCAGCTACAAGATGTACTTCAAATCTGATCCCACTCCTAAGAACACTGTAAATATCACTCATTTATTTATATTTTTATTTATATATATTTTCAAATAGGAAGAGTCTGTGGTATTGAATGTCCCCCTTGGTGTTATCACCCATGTTGAGAAGATCGGAAGATCAAGACAGAAAGGAGATAATGTCATATATGGACTTGATGTTCACTGCAAGGTTCGGAAGAATAACATGACTGTTAGCTTTTAACCTTATAATATGTTTATATATGCACACACACACACACACACACTCTCTCTCTCTCTCTCTCTCTCTCTCTCTCTCTCTCTCTCTCTCTCTCTCTCTCTCTCTCTCTCTCTCTCTCTCTCTCTCTCTCTCTCTCTCTCTCTCTCTCTCTCTCTCTCTCTCTCTCTCTCTCTCTCTCCTTCTCTCCCCCTCCCTCTCTCCCTCCCTCCCTCCCTCAGGATATGAGGACGTTAAGGTTTGCTTTTGCTCATAATCAAGAGTCTCACGGTAGAAGAGGAATGTATGACCGGCTGCAGGTATAATGATGCCCTACTATTATCTCTATTTAATGCCCATCCTTTCTCTCGTATATTAGATTGTAGCTTTTCCATGTTCTTATGGAAAGGTAATAGAATAAATAAATAATAATAAAATTATAATTAATTGATTTCTTTTAGAATGTTTATGCATTTCATTTCCGTGGTGATTACCCTGACGACGGTTGGGAGGTGTACGATCCAGAGGCTGAACTGAAGAGAATGGTAACCTTTTGTTTACTGATTGTTTACTTGTTTGTTGTTTGTTGTTTGTTGTTTGTTGTTTGTTGTTGTTAGGGTGTTGGTAATGATGGAGTTCCATGGAGGATTTGTCATTTAAATAAAAATTATGAGCTTTGTGATACATACACATCAACGGTGGGTTGGGCTTTATTGTTATTAAATTTATTTTATTTTATTAATTCAGTTTTCCGTTCCTTTGAATTGCAGTGATGAGATGGTACAAGGTGTTGCTCAGTTCAGGAGTAAAGGAAGAATACCAGTAATTCAATTTTAATATTATACAGTACATGTGTCAATAAATGAAGACTCCTCTCTTAGTGTGCTAAATATAGTACAGGCTGATTTTTAAGCAACTTCAAAAATTTATTAAAAAATTCAAATTTGATCGGAATTAGCTCAAACTTTCTACACAACATAAGAACATGTATATGCATCAGGAAAAGTTATAAAAATGGAGAATTCTCTCCTTTTCAATTTTGGCAAAATTTGGCCAATGACCCAAGGCTATAGCCTTGGGTCGTTAGCTCGATTTTTGAGCAACTTTAAAAATTTGTGAAAAATTCAAATTTGATTGGAATCAGCTCAAACTTTCTACACAACATAAGAACATGTATATGTATCAGGAAAAGTTATAAAAATTGAGAATTTTCTCCTTTTCAATTTTGGCGAAATTTGGCCAATGACCCAAGGCTATAGCCTTGGGTCATTAGCTCAATTTTTGAGCAACTTAAAAAATTTATAAAAAATCCAAATTTGATTGGAATTAACTCAAACTTTCTACACAACATAAGAACATGTATATGCATTAGGAAAAGTTATAAAAATGGAGAATTCTCTCCTTTTCAATTTTGGCGAAATTTGGCCAATGACCCAAGGCTATAGCCTTGGGTCGTTAGCTCGATTTTTGAGCAACTTTAAAAATTTGTGAAAAATTCAAATTTGATTGGAATCAGCTCAAACTTTCTACACAACATAAGAACATGTATATGCATCAGGAAAAG